ATATACACAATCTTAAAAATATCTTAACTGTCCTGTAGAACAACTGGAGACTTTCAGAGGTTAAGCAACTCCTGTGTGCAGGAGATTCGAACCAACTCTTTCTTAACCACACACATCAGTCCATTCCATACTGTTGCTCTTACTCCAAGGTAAAGTGATGGTGTGTTAAGTTTAACTATTGACTCTCTAAGGCAGGGTTTATATTCCTCTTTTTATTTATTCCTCAGTGTAGATTTAGACTGTAGTGCAGAAAACTACTGGGCAGGTTGAGGGGGAGAATGATGGTCGAGGTGGAGCAGTTTGTCATTGTGGGTACCAGGCCTCCTCTCATGTCTCTCTCTGAGAAGTTTCAAATTCAGAAGCCTGTAGAGGCCAGGCAAGAAATGGAAATGAGTAGAGTATGCTGGGTCTATGTGGGCTCTAGTTTTCCTTGACGCTTGTGGCCCTGCCTTTGTTAGTGACAGGAGAAACTCTTTCTTTATAAGAAAAACATCAGTGCAAGCTAAGGATTAGCAGTTTTTGAAATTGGGGCATACATTATGAGGGCTCCTGGACACTCCTTGTTGTCTTAGAGCCACCCATGAATATTACCTATCTCCCTTGAGGTCACTTCATTCAACATGACATAATGAATATTTATCAAGCACCCAGTGCTTCCCAGGCTCTCCTCTTCCTTCCAAGGATGTAGCAATGACTACTCTCCTCAAGGGAGAGTACATTTTGGTTTTTGGTCTGCAGTAGGCAGGATGGGAACTGTGGACCTGGAGAATATTGCCTGAAAAACATGCTGCCACCACTCACCTTTAGCCAATTGCTGTCAACCATGAATGCTGCCCCTATGATGCCAAGCTTTTAATTTTCCAAGACAAATCAGAAATCGGATTTCTTTTTTAAGCTGCAACTTTCTTATTTTTAAATATTGCCTCAACGTTTTAAAAATCACTGTGGAGGTTAGACAAAATGCGTCTGCAGACAGAATCTGGCTTGTGACTTCTGGGAAACACCATCTTTGCCCTTGCTGGTCTGCTTGAGAGGAGAAATGCAATGAAACAACAGCTGCAGCCATGTTAATTCCCTTCTCTGGAAGCAATGAACCAGTCATCAGATTTGGCAATTCCAAGGCTTAATTTGCAATATAAGGTCAACAATTTCAGTGAAAGCCATTTCAAAATCAGCCTTCAAATCAACAAACAACAAAATGACTATATGAATCAGCAGTCTTATTAACCTGGACTCAAGAGAATATGGCCAACAGGTTACTTATAACAGGGGATATTGCAGTTGTTAATCTGCTTGCAAGTTGGAGATTGGCTTTTAGTAAATGATCCCTATTGTAGGCTCTTGCATTTCTATAAACTTGCTACCCGGTGATCCAAACCTGCAGTCACAGTGTGAGTTTTGCACTGGTGCCCATTTGTTTATGTATTAAGTCTAGGGTTTCCAATAAAGCTTAAGGTTATTATTATTATTATTGGTTAATTTATAGTTCTTTTTTTGAGCTAGCTAATTTGGACTTTTTTTGACAATGAAAACGTTTTTTCTTTTTTTTGGAGACAGAGTCTTGTTTTTGCCCTGTTGTCCACGCTAGAGTACAGTGGGGCTCAGTCTCAGCTCACTGCAACCTCCATCTCCCAGGTTCGAGTGATTCTCCTGCCTCTGCCTCCCGAGTCCTGGGATTACAGAGGTCCATAACCATGCATGGCAAATTTTTGTAATTTTAGTAGAGACAAGGTTTCACTATGTTGGCCGGACTGGTCTCGAACTCATGACCTCAGGCAATCCACCCTCCTCCGCCTCCCAAAGTGCTGGGATTACAGGCATGAGCCAACGTGCCTGGCCAGCAGTGAAGATCTTATAGACAGTTTAGCAAATCAATCAGTATTCTGATTAGCTTCATATTTTGCCAGTTACTCAAGCAATAGCTTTTTATTTATTTATTATTATTTTCTTATTGCATTTTAGGTTTTGGGGTACATGTGAAGAACATGCAAGATCGTTGCATAGGTACACACATGGCAGTGTGATTTGCTGCCTTCCTCCTCATCACCTATATCTGGCATTTCTCCCCATGCTATCTCTCCCCAACTACCCACCTGCTGCTGTCCCTCCCCTGTTTCCCCCCCCGACAGACCCCAGTGTGTGATGCTCCCCTCCCTGTGTCCATGTAGTTTTTTGTTTTTTAAAGGGAATGTGGTAGCTGATCATGAATCACTAACTTGTTAAAATTATTACATACTGACAGATTCTACTCATTGTCCTATGAACTTCTTGTTCTCATTTTCTTCACCACTCTTTGCTCACATGTTTCTTCCATTTCCCTTTCCGATTTGACTGTTCGTCTATTCCTCGAAGTTCACTCTGCTGCCTGTGCACATATTTACTGGGTCCCTGCATCCTTCACACTGATCCAGCTCCTCTGGTCTCTGGAACCTAGCCTCATACATCTTTTCTCCATCCACACCACTTGCCAGAGCTCCTTGGCAGCTAAAGGGCTGTTTTCCACCTTTTAACAATTCTTTCCCAATGTTGAGGTCTCTGAACTAAGCCCTGAGGAGTTGTGCTGGGGACACATTTTTCATGTATCAATACATCCATCATAGCTAACACCTTGCCTAAATCTATTCATGCTCTAAAGCCAGGTCACATGTTCAGTGCGTTTCCTTGGCTCAGGATGGGTCATTTGCTTTGCATCATCTGTGTTCTGCTGGTTGTCCCTCAGTTGTGAGGGTCTAACAGCAACCCCCAAATTCCAGCTCATACAAACTCAGTGACTAACAAGCTTTACTGAAATAATGCCTAATGGAAGCTGTCAGAGATTCCCAAGTGGGGAGGCATCCTGGGCCACTTCTGTTGTTCCTGAGACAGGGCAGTAGACAGCTGTATGCCTCCCCTGGTGACAGCAGCTTTGTAAAATGATACAATTCTGACTTCCATCAAGCTGCTTTCTGGATTCAACTCTACATTTTGTCTGAGATAATGAGGAATTTTGATCTTGTTTTACAGTTATATTGGGTCTTATACTACTGAGACTGCATTCTGAATATTTGTGCAGAAAGGCATTTAAAATACAGTCTTCTATGAAGGAAGACAAGTGGTCTGCCTTATTTAAACTTTCCTGAGCATTCTATTTATGTTAATAGAGGTAACCTGGGCTTTCTGGCTTACACACTTTGGGTTATATGTCTGCAAAATAAATCTGTGATGACAATAACTTGAGCAATGTTACAAATTACAAACATTTTCAAACACAAATAGGCCAAAGTCAAGGAAAAAATATTCTGTTCCATATTTGTTCCTAGAAATATATGCATTTGAATTTCTCTTCAGCCACTGTGCTGTGGAAACAAGCAAGTCAAACTTCGATTTCTGCCAATTGTTTAATTTTTTAAAATCTTGATACTGGTTTTTCCTTTTAAATAATTTTACATGTCTTTCACTTACTTTAGGAAGTAATTCAATATGATCTTAAAAACTTTTAGGTTGCTTTCACATAAAAGAGTAGGAGTTTTTAAATTAGCACTAGAAGGACTAAAATCTTTCATTTTTCAACATTGATACTATTCAAAAGTTCATATATACTTTGTGATGTAATTTTTTAAAACAGTAATAGATAGCTCCTAATAAAAATGTATCATGCGTATCACTCATACATGATGGGCTTTGTTTTATTGCCGAGTTCTGATAACCATTTCAAAAGGGAAAACTTCAAGTTTAAAGTTTAAAAGACTCTTATTTATTTATTTTTTTTTAAGAGACAGGGTCTGGCTCTGTCACCCAGGCTGGAGTGCAGTGGCACAATGTGAGCTTACTGCAACCTCTGCCTCACAGGCTCAAGCCAGCCTCCTGCCTTGGCCTCCCAAGTAGCTGGGACTCCAGGCACGTGCGTGCCACCATGCCTGGCCAATTTTTGTATTTTTTGTAGAGATACGTGTCTTACTATGTTTCCCAGGCTGGTCTCAAACTCCTGAGCTCAAGCAATCCACCAGCCTTGGCCTCCCAAAGTGCTACGCATTCAAGTGTGAGTCACCATGCACAGTCTAAAAGACTCTTTTGGTGAATGTTTACAATAATTGAATAAATGCTGGGATCATTGTTCATTTAAAAAGTCCATTTATTCTAATTATCTGGGTACAGACTGTATTCTGGTGGAGTATTTCCGTCAATTAAAATAATATCAAATGGAATAGTTTGCAGATTCACCTTAATAATTTGTTGTGTGACTTTAAGAAGTTTCGAGGGTTAAAATCACATTTCCTTTCATTATAATTTTTATATTTTATATCTTTGCTGGATGATGTTCTCAGGGTTTAGTCCATTTGGCCCCTCAGTACATATATTTACCATTGACTTTATCAGATATTATCTATTTATGATGGTTGCAAAACTGGATCATAATTTTTAAATGATAAACAGTTCAGCTACCTAAAGCATGCAGCAGCAAGTTGTCATTGTGACTTCAGTGCAGTCGGAATTTGTCACTTTTGGGGCATAAAATAGGAAATTTAAGCCATCTAAATCAAATCTGAAATTTTCCCGGAGATTGCCCTTGTAAAACGTTTTGAGAATATTGACTGACCCTCTGTTTATTATGAGTCTGGCTTAAGAAATGAGTCAACATGGTGAAACCCCATCTCTACTAAAAAAATACAAAAAATTAGCTAGGTGCAGTGGCACGCACCTGCAATCCCAGCTACTCCGGAGGTTGAGGCAGGAGAATTGTTTGAACCTCGGAGGCGGAGGTTGCGGTAAGCCAGGATGGTGTCACTGTACTTACTTCAGCCTGGGTGACAGAGTGTCTCAAAAAAAAAAAAAAAAAAAGAAAATCAACAAAGAAATGAGCAACAATAAAAGTAAGATGCTCGCTTATATCCTGTTGACTTTATCCTTAGATTTTTTGGAAACATTAAGTCGCATAGTAGCTCTCCAGTCCCACATTGCTTAACATAGCTCATGGTTGGGTCAATTTACCTTGGTTTTTAAATATTATTTTTCTTTTTTAGGGAAACTTGATTTAAATCTGTGCATTGCCACGGGCAAGAAGCCGAGAACATGGAGAGAAAGGTAAGATTGATGTCATAGTAGGCCCCTCTTTAATTTTTTCTCCTTTAAAAGCAAGGCTTTTAAGCTTGATTTTTCATTATCCATGGATGGAAAGGATAGAAGTGACTAGAAATGTGGCCTCCTTTGTAGCACTCACGAGTAAAGAGGATGATTAACGAGTGTAGCAGGCAACGTCATAGCAAAAGAGAGTCTATGGAAGAGAAACAAAAGTGCCTCAGAATTCCCAAGGATTCCCATGATCCATAGTAGGACTTCATGGTGCCTGTCTGCTGTTTCTATTTTTGATTAGATTTATAAACACAGCACCACATATTTTCATGTGGCTCATCGCCTAGGGGCAGAATCAGATTGGCTGCACTGGAACTGTGAGGCTTGTGAATTTTGGGCGAGGGCTAGAGTGAAATAAGTAGTGTAATTGTTTTTGTGGAGTGACCGTGGGACCTCCTCTGTTCTGAATTACACATGGCTCAACCCTTTGACCTGACCAGACTCTGCAAAGGCTGGCAGGACTCCTAACACTGTGCTGAAAGGGTGGTCGCTGAACAAGCTGGAACGTTATCTGTCAGGCCAGATGTGGGCCAACAACAAGATTCAAATATATTAATTACTAGTGGGACACATTTGCGACCACTTTGACTTCACTTAACCCATCATCATATACGTTATTATTTCAACAGGAAGTGCCAATATGGAGAATATTTGGAATCCAAAGGTAGCACAAATCCTTTGATAAATAGATTATTAGGCTTTTAAAATTTTTTTTATTTTTTATTTTACTAAATTTTAGATCATCTTTGGGAATATTTTGCCTGATAATTCAAACATTATTATTTTGAATTTTTTTAATATCCTCAGGTTTGGGGAAAACGTCAGAAGCCATGATTAAAACTCTTTCATCTCAGCGAGTTTAATTCTTTCAAAATAGATGCTAATCCACAGATAGAATTCCTTGAAAGAATCAAAGCTAGGGAAGATGCAGAGAATTGGGAAAAGGTTTGGGAGAATCATAGGTGCTGACATTTGTGCAATTGTGGAGAATTCATTCTGTGATTCACATGACGATGAATTGGATAAAGATGTTTATATCTATCTAGGTAAGATTTTAAAGTGACACCCTTGAATTTTTATTTTGGATTCAGTAGCTTAAATTTTCAAAGGCAATATAAGCAGAAATCTCAAGTTTATTTTCGGGCACTTGGCATTATTACCAAAGCTAGTCCTATTTCTGGAATACATCTAAAAATTTTTAAAATTTCCTTTCTTTCCTTGCCAATGCTGCAAAGTAAAGGTCTCTGTAGGTATTTTATGTTTACACCCACATGGAAATAATTTAGCATTTAAATATTTGCTTTCTTATCTGAGGCAACTCAGGCTGAATATTAATTCAATTCTTAGTTACATGACACGTAAACTTTTCTTTAAAGAGTACACAACTTTGTGTGTGTGTGTGTGTGTGTTTTGCGGGGGAATTGTATTTGTCTCTTACTACTGGGATTCTGAACATGAAAATAGGGAGGTCTTCATCAATTCAGTTACAAAAAAAGAAAAATAAAAAACAGGACGATATCCTATAACCTCCCCCAACAAAATTGCGTTCAGCCCTACCCAGTCTCATTCTCATTAGCAGTGAAGGGTTTACTCTCCAAGCAATCTAACATGGAATGCTTAGAGCAGACAGGTGCAAATTGCAAGCTGTTTCACTTTGGCTGTTATCCCTTGAATCGACAAAGTAATAGACTGGGAGAACAAAAAAGGTTCCAGCTCAAGCTGCATAAATGAAAGTCTTAACAGGGACACACCAGCTGGCTAGGAGAATTCGATGTAGTGAATACTAAACATTACCTTTGTGCCCCTTGCCAAGGAAAAGGGCTTCAGTGACACCCCCTCCCTTTGATGATTGAGATGATGTGCCTTCAAAATCGTAGTTTGCTTTATTGTAAAGGCGACACTGTGGCCGAAGTGGATGAGAACGGAATCCAACATACCTGTTCCTGTAATGTTGCCATCACTACACTCCTCCGAGCCATTCAGGCATGATTAGGTTCCTGGAGTGGGACCAGATTGACAGTATTTCTATCCATGTCTTTTTTGGCTGATCCAAGCAAAGCCCCAGAGCAGTAAAACAACAAAATACAATCACTACCACCCACGCCTCCCCAGCAAGATGAATCTGCTGAGCTAGTCTGCTGAAAAAAAAAACACAGTTGTTCCTATTAGGAACACCTAATTTTGCTTCATGGAAGTGCCATGCCGCACCAGTATGTGTAGGAATCTAAGGTATGCATTTCCAAAAAGGGACCCTAACTCTGTCATTCCTAAGTTGCTTCTCTTTGTGACTTCCCAGTATGCGCAGGAACTGTTGTCTGTAAGAAGGAACTTGCACTTGAGCTCTGAGGCTACTGACTTGGTCTGACCATGCAGATCAGGGTATGAAGAGAA